GAGGCCATTGCTCTTGGGTTGGAGGCCATTGCTCTTAGGTTGGAGGCCATTGCTCTTGGGTTGGAGGCCATCGCTAGTAGGTCGGAGGCCATTGCTCTTGAGTTGGAGGCCATCGCTAGTAGGTTGGAGGCCATTGCTCTTAGGTTGGAGGCAGTCGCTAGTAGGTCGAAGGCCATTGCTCTTAAGTTGGAGGCCATCGCTAGTAGGTTGGAGGCCATCACTCTTAGGTTGGAGGCCATTGCTCTTAGGTTGGAGGCCATCGCTCCTAGGTATTTTTTTACATGTAAGTCCTGCCGGATGATGTTGGCACATATTTGATCCAGGTGTGACTCGTGGAGCTCATCACTACCCGGGCAATAAAAGACAAGGCTTTGGACAACTTAGGTTCAAAACATGAGCTCTAAACTCTCACGTTTCTCTGTTCGCTCTAAACCATGTCCACCAGCTCAGTGCGGCCATTTCTTCGTTTTCTCCGCACCTCACTGGACCATCGTCTCACCTCTGGGCACCCCAAACGATCTGCCCGCCCATGTGGCTCCGTGCCTAGCGACCCCGACGCGATCGACGGCGGACCGGTGACCCGGCGATCGACTACGCGCCGGAGACGAGGAACGCCCTGTTTTCGCGTTCAAAAGACAGACCGGTTTTCGCGCGCGTTGCCTCTCTTTTTTCGTTTTCGAAAGATCTGTCATGCTTCTAGGAACAAGTGCATCGCTACTAGGAACAAGTGCATCGCTACTATGAGCAAGGGCCTTACTAGTAGTAACAAGAAGCCATTAGAAACAAGATCCAGTGCTTCTTCTTCTTCTTTCTCCCGAACACGCAGAAACGAGACGAAGGGATGGTGGGGCCCCCCGACGAAGCTCACCTGTCCGCTGGGGACGTCGGCCTCGCGCTGCGTGGGAAACGAACGCGCCACTGGGTGGAGGGAGGAGACCTTCGAAAGCATCCATGAGATGAGGGAGCCACGGATTAATGATTGTCATACTAGTAACAAGTGCATCGCTACTAGTAGCAAGTGCCACGCTAGTA